ATCGCTGCCGTCACTTTCTGGCAAAGGAACCTGAACACGGAGCCAGTGACATGTTTGAGGCTCGTGTGGCAACCGAGAGTCCCTTTGCCTCTTTGCCCTGTAGGCTCGCTCAACCATCATTTCTACCAAGTAATGGCGAGATACCTTTGCACATTGAAAGTGATCCTCACCACTTCCCTGTCCTTCAGTTTATGCTTGATGAGGCATCACAAGTGAAAGACATCGAATTCTTTTAGATTTTCCGCCAGGAAGGGGAGAGTTCCTATTTGTGCTCTCCGTGCATGTCCTTGCATCACTGTGGGAAGTATGATAAGTGCAGCCATGGAAGGAACAGCTGTAGGCATGTCGCACACATGGTCTTCTTGGTTCATCATGAGCATCTCAATGAGTCTGAAACCGCAAAAGGAAGAAAGGAGAATGTCTTCAAGATCAGTTGTTGTGCTTTTTAAATGGCTGTCAGGTAACACACAGGGAAACAGCCGCTTAACGATGCAGGCTCTTTTCCTCAGACCCGGGGAGCTGCCTGGGCTGTCCTCGCTAGACCTTGCCTCTGTGATTGCACCTCTGCCTCACCGACGTGACTTTGATAGCGTCAGGAGTCGGTTTATCTCTGCATCCTCTGCATGGGGAGGTGGCCTTGGGTAAAGTGTGTGTCCAGTGGGGGAAGGTCCAGGCACGGATAAAGTCCTGTTCTACGTCAGCATGTACTTTCCTAAGGGCAGTATACCGAATCCTTAATCACAAGTTTTGCCTTGGTTTTTGCTTATCTTAAATGTTCTTTTTCCCGAAGGCACAGGTCTATACCTGCATCTCGAAATTAACGGATTACAAATAGGGTCATTTTGTGGGCTTTACCAATACTAATAGAATCACTTACGTGTTTTCTTAGACGTAGTTTTGTGTTTTTTTAAACAATGTCTTTGTGCAATTCATATACCACACAATTCACCCATTTAAGTTTCACAATTGGATGTTTCCCAGTATATCGGAAGGCTTTGCAGCCATCAGCATAATCTAGTTGTAGAGCATCTTCATCCTCCTCTGAAGAAAAGCCACACCCATTAGCAGACACATGTCCTCTCTGCCCCCACCGCCATGCAGCCACCAGCAGGCTGTCTGTAGAGATTTGCCTCTACTGAACATTCTACATGATAAAATCACATGACCTGTTGTTTTCTGTGGATGACTTTGCTCACATAACACTCTCGAGGTTCGTCTGAGTCGCAGCACGGATCTGTAGCACATCCTTTTTTACTGCCAGCTGCTGTCACCCTGTGGGCTGTAGCACGTTCTGTACACCCTTCCATCAGTTAATGGACGTTTGGGTTGTTACCGTGTTTTGGCGACTCATGAATAATGCCACTGTGAACGTTCACGTACAAAGGTTCATATAGACATATGTTTTTGTTTCTCTTGGTTACGTACCTAGGAATGGGAGTACTGAGTCATGCGGTAGCTCTCTATGTTTAACTTTCTGAGGACCTGCCACACCGCATTCCCCGGCGGCTACACTCCCACCAGCAGTGCGCAAGGGCTCCCGTGTCTCCACATCCTCCCCAATACCTGTGTTCTCTTTGATCATGTCCAGTCTAGTGGGCATCAAGTGGTATCTTGTAGTTTTGATTTGAAGCTCTTGAATGAATAATGATTTTGAACATCTTTTAATGTGTTTGTTGGCCAATTCTGTATCTTCTTTGGAGAAACGTCTACTCGTGTCCTGTGGTGGTTGTCTGACTCGGTTATTTTTCTCTTTACTGTTGAATTGTAAGAGGGTTTTTGAATGTATTTTGTATATAATTGTGTGATTTGTAAATGTTTTTTTCCTATTTTGTGTTTGTGTTTTCTGTTTCTTGATGGTGTCTGTGATGACACACAAAGGTTTTTATTTTGATGGGGTCCAATTTATCTGTTTATTCATTCGTTTGTACTTTTGGTATCCTAAGAATCCATTACCTGACTCAGGGCCTACAAAGATTTACTACATTGTAACGTGGAAGTTATAAAACGTCTAAGACTCTTAGAGGTTTTTTAGCCCTTGCATTTAGGTCTTTGGTCCATTTTGAGTTAATTTTCTATATGGTGTGAGATAGGGATCTAATTTCATGCTCTTTTTTTGTGGAACTGTGGTTGTCCCATCACCATCTTTTGAAAGGACTAGTTTTTGGCATCCTTGTCAAATAAAAATCTTCATCCAAACCAAAGTCAGAACACATGGACTTTTTGGATAACCCAAGGTTTTCATGAAAGTGTTTGAACAATTGAACGTCTCTACCAAATGATGCACTGTTCTTTTTTTTTAAGATTTTATTTATTTATTTGACAGACAGAGACACAGCAAGAGAGGGAACACAAGCAGGGGGAGTGGGAGATGGAAAAGCAGGCTCCCCGCGGAGCAGGGAGCCTGATGCGGGGCTCGATCCCAGGACCCTGGGATCATGACCTGAGCCAAAGGCAGACGCTTAACCAACTGAGCCACCCAGGCGCCCCTGATGCACTGTTCTTATAGTGACTCTGGGATTGGAAAGACGGAATCTGGTTTTTCCAAAATCTGGAATGTAAACCCAGTGTCTGCTCAGGTCCATCAGATCGTAGGCATCCTTGGGTGGAGCCATCCACTCCCCTTTGTTAAGGGGAGTTTGACAGTTGCCATGTATCCCGGTGACTGTCTGGGCAGCCGTGAGCTGTGTGTCAGTTTCAGTGACTGCAGACAGCAGCTAAGGTAACACGGGCTGTTTGCAGCGTCGTGTTGGAAGGACCGATTTTGGCGGAACCGAAGGAATGAGTGGTTTGTGGTTGTCAGTGTGGTACCTGGGTCACTGGGCATCCCAGCAGCTCAGTAGTGACAGTTGGTGGCGGTGAGACTACTGCGTCCTGGGAGGAGAGCCCGATGCAGAGACCGTGGCGTGGCTCAGGAGGCTCGGACGACAGAGACGCTGGAGGGGAAACAACGAGCGCTTTGCTTTGGATGTACGTCATGAAAAGCCGCGGCAGTGGTTTCTGTCATCCCTGCGTTGGCTGGGGCTCGATGGAGAGCCGCGTGGTGAGGGCCAGGGAGAGCGGACGTGAAGTGGAGCGTGTGACTCCAAGGAGAAAATAGCGCAGCCTGAGATTGCGTTCCGTGGCCACTTTCGAAACCCGCGGCCTGCCTGTCTTGAACCTGTGAGGGGCAGGATGGCGTTGGTTGTGCCACTGGTTTCAGAGCACCTGCTCTGCTTCTTCCTTTTGCTGGCCTGTCTTTGTAAAGCAGCAGGGCGGGCCGGCGCCCCTTGCGTCCGAGGCCGTGTGTGTATTCTGAGCTTTTTGGGCCGAGAGGAAGAGTTCCTATAAACAGTACCCAGGGTAGTTTGTACAACAGTTATTTCTGGGGAATTCTCAGCACGATTCAGGGCTTGGATCTCCTTCAGGTAGGTGTGGAGGTGGGTGTGATTCCAGCCAGGGCGCCTCCTTCGAGGCACAGGCTCAGGCAAGGCCTTAGGCCAGCACGCATGGCAACCTGGGGCAGAGGGCTGTGGTGTGAGCCTTGCTCCCCTCCCCTCCCCGCCCGGGGCCCCTGGGCACCCAGGATTCTTGGGGAGGGGGAGCAGCACCGTGTCCTTGTCGCTGCCAACAGGGGCCCTGCCCGCAGGCGTGCTGGGTTCTCAGGCATGGTTGGAATTGGTTCAAGATTCTCTGGAACAGTCTGAACTCTTGCACGGTCTGGCGGCTGCAGCCGCTTGTTTTATAACATGGCTGTGTTTGATAGAGGTATGTGTTAAATTTAGTAAAATTATGACCATCAAGCGCAAGGTCCGGTCAGAAGCAAAGAAGTACCTGCCCCGCCCCGCCCCCCGCAGTCCTTTCCTTCTCGTCCTGGCCTCACCCTTCCTCTTCAGCCGCTGAAGGGCCATGCAGAACAGGAAGATGGGCGTTGCATCCTGGCCCTGCTGTTAGTGGCCCTATGACCTTAGGGACTTTCTTTCGAGAAAGAAACTAAAACTCAGAAAGGCAGTCGGTAAACAGAAGAGCTGGTGCCTGCCTTCTAAGGGGTTTGCCGGGTTCGTGAGGAGTCCTAACGTGTCACAGGGCGGGTAAACATTTCTGTCACGGTCGCTGTGTGCACTTCCCCTTTGGAACCTGTTTAGAGCGCAGCCCCTGCCTGTCAGGCCTTCCCAAGCTCCCCGGTGCTTATGAAGTGTGACCACGTTCTTGGGGGTGGCGTCAGGACCCTCCACGCAGTCCTGTCCAGCTCACCCCCCTCCCCCGTCTCGTGTCAGACAGCTCTTGCTCTTCCTCTGTGTTCCTTCACGCTTTCCCACCTCTCTGTCTCTCCCGCTCCTGATTCTTCGGCTTAGAATGCCTCCTCCCCTTCACGGCTAAATGCTTCCTCGAGGCCTGAAAGCTGTAGCCTTCCCAAAGCTTCCCTTGTCTGTTCTTTCCTCCCACCTGGAAGGAACGGGCCTTTGGAGCGGTTCTGTTGACATTTTGGGTGCCTGTCAGGGACTCAGTGTCTTCTCTGCAGTGTCTTTTTCCTTTTTTATTCTTTCTCTCTTCTGCCTGATGATAAATTATTTGAGGGTGACCAAAATATTTTTCCAGCTTCTGTGTATGTTCCAGAACACCATGAGTCCAGGAGCTGCTCAATAGTTTCAGGATAGATTAAAAATGTCTTTCTCATTTTATGGTTAATCTTAATCTAATCCTCATGAAATAATCTTTGTTGCCTTTTCTGTGATTGTCTTGCGCATAAACTTTAGAACGTCCCATGTGTATCGTTGGCCTCACATCCCTCCAGCGAGACCGCAGCTGCGTCTTCGCCTCCGTGTCACGTGGAGCACGGCCCCGTACATAGAAGATGGGTTTGGGTGGACACGTGTGCACGCGCTCGGTCGTGTCCTCTGCGCCCAGACCCGGGCCCTGACGCGGAGCTCACGGCCACGAGTGTCTCCGCCAGCCACAGTCTGCACAGGTTTTCCCTGTCTGATAAAATGCCCTTTCTGACTTTTCTTCCTTTTTTTGTGCAGACCGTCGTGAGAGACATCAGGACAAGAATGTTTCACTTAAGGACTTGTGCTGCTAAGTTGAGGCCGTTGACGGCTTCCCAGACTGTGAAGACATTTTCACAAAACAGACCAGCAGCAGCTAGGACGTTGGGGCAGATTCGGTGCTTTACCGCCCCCGTTGCTGCCGAGCCCTTCCTCAGTGGGACTAGTTCCAACTATGTGGAAGAAATGTACTATGCATGGTTGGAAAACCCCAAAAGCGTACACAAGGTAAGGGTCCCAGGAGCGGATGTCTTCGTGTGTTTGCAGTCTTGGCCTGATGTTGGCCGGCTGTCCAGGTAAGTACCTGTGTCCTGAGGAGCCTTCTGGAAGGCAGGCCGGCCGGCTAGCTGGCAGCAAAAAAGCCCACCGAGCGGAGTCCTCTGCATTGGCAACTCGGCCATCAGCCCGGGCCCTGCAGCGACCACCTCTCTGGAGGAGCGCTCCCCTCTTGCTTGACACACCGCACACTTGAGACCCGCTCCCTGGGACAGAAGGCCTGTTTGACCTGCAAGGGTCTGAAGAGGCTCGTGCACCCTTTCCAGGGCCTCCCGGAGGATGCTGTGGGATAGACGCCGAAGACAGGATGCAAACAGAAGCCACGACCCTGCCGGATACTCCATCCCATCTTCCTGAGATACCTTAAAATCATCACATGCAAATGCTGTGTAAATGGCATTTTCAATCAGTATGCTCCTGTATCTGAGAGTAAATTCTGTGCGGGCTTCTTTCTAATTCCCTTCTGTCGCCCGTAAGGCACGTCCTCGAGAGCCCCCGTGTGCACACGTGTGCTTGATACAGGGCGTGCCCGGCCGCCGAGTTTCCTCCCAGCATTCTGGCCGGTGATGTTTATGGGTTTTCAGGCTGGGCAGCTGGCCCGGTTGCAGGAACTGGAGGGTGGGTCCCCAAGTTGCCATCTGTGCCACATTTGCAGGCCATGGGAGGTTTGGAGGAGACATGGGTACGTGTAAGGTGCCCAGGGTCTGCACAGAGGAGTGCCCAACAGAGGCTGGCCACCGTTAGCTGCTGCTTTGGCCTCTTCCTTACTTGTGAATCTTGGGGTCTTGTCATCAAAAGGCAGCCTGCTTCCACTGGGCCCCTGAGAACAAGCTTCACCCTGAAATGTTCGTGACATTTAAAGGTGGATACGTTCGTGTGGCTGCCGGAGCCACTGGCCTTATTTCATCCTGGTCTGAGCCTCCTTGATCGGCAAAGGAGGGCATCCAGCCGGGTCCTTCCCTGTTCCCTTGGCAACCTGGAGGCCACGTGGCTCCCTGAGCAAGGTGAGACCTGGTTTCCTGTGAGAGTAGATGTTTCCCTGGCCTGTAAACAAAGGGACCACGCAGAGGTGACCCTAGAAAGCAGCCCTCCGTGCGGTGCTGGCTGTCAGACGCTCTGAAGACAGGCGCTGCGCGGTGGGCTCTGGGCTAAACCTCGCCAGAGGCTCCGGGTGTCACACTGTCATCTGGTGCCCAGGCCTGTCCCTCGGCCTTCCTCTCCCCAAACATAATGTCTGTGGAACCAACCACATCTTCTGTCCTCTGGGCTGTAGCAGGGTGTGGGCTCTGGGCAAGGGGCCATGTGCCTTTTCACTCTGCAATGTCCTGACTTCATTCCCACTCCTGGGGAGCACAGCACAGTGACGGCTCACTCACAGGCCAGGGAGGAGTCCAGGGTGGGCACTGGGTCCTTGGACTCTGCCGGTCAGAGCGAACACTCACAGACATGCTGCAGAGCAGGTGTGCAGGGTCTCAGAAAGGGACTTGCCAGTTGAATACGAGAATCCATGCAGGTGGCATCCTGGGGCCAGATTTTATGTGCTGGTTTCAGTTGCGGGGATTCTTCAGGGGACACCACGTCTTCAGGACCGGGGAGGGGTGGGCAGGGCGGTGTAAATCAGGGGGCATGCCCCTCATCCACTATCCCAGCCACAGGGAATCGATTGCCTCTCCAAGGTGGGATAGGCCTCCTACCTGATGTGTTCGTGTTTCTTCAGAGACACAATCCTGAGCTTGCGTCAGATTCCAGTGGCCTCTGTGACTCAGGGAAGTCCGTAGAAATATTGACTTTCCGAAGAATGCTTCATTTGTGCTCATGTTTTAGAACACGTAGTTCAAGCAGAAATGATGAATTGGATTTGAAACTTGAGATCGATTGGCTTTCAGAACCCCCACGTGTGGGTTGTCAGTGTGGGCTCCGTGCCCTGAGGGCTGGCCCTGTCCTCTCTCTGCTCTGTTGATGCAGACCTGGTTCATATCTGGTGGAAACAACAATTTTAGCATCTGCCCTCCCTGCCCTGCTACACTCAGCTTTCCAGTTATTGTTTTAATTTTTTATGATACTTTCAAACAAATGGTAGAAGAGAATAAAACGAGCCCCTGCGAGGAGACCCATGTCCAGCCTCAATAGCACTCCACAGTTTGCCAGTTTCCAGAACCCCTTCCTGCCCCACTCTTTTTTGCTTGTTGATTTTGCTTGGGTGGGGGCCCAGGGGAGTGTTTGAAGGAAATCCAGACCTGGGTCATTTCAGCACGACTCTCACTAATGGGAATGTTGTCTTCACCACACCTAACAGACTTCACAAGATAACTCACCAGCGTCTACTTCTCAGCCTCAGCCAGCTGTGCCTCTCTTAAAGCATATGTGCTTTTTGGGTTTTTTTTAAAGATTTTATTTATTTATTCGACAGAGAGAGAGAGAGCATTAGCAGGGGCAGAGGCAGAGGGAGAAGCAGACTCCTTGCTGAGCAGGGAGCCCGATGCGGGGCTCGATCCCAGGACCCCGGGATCATGATCTGAGCTGAAGGCAGACGCTGAACCCACTGAGCCCCCCAGGTGCCCCGTGTGTGCTTGTTTTTAAAGAACACTTGTATTTTCAAATGTTTCATCGTGAACATTGTTTTTGGTGACGTACGCGAGCAATTCTGAGCTGGAGCCCCTCGTGCTCCTGGTGCCCAGGCGGGCGGCTGGCCCCGACTGCACCCCATCCCCGTCACCACCTCTAGTCTAAATGCCTTGTCAAGCACAGCCCACCGCTGGACCCCATCAGGTGCCCTCAGCAGGGGCCTGTGTGTCAGCACGCGAAGCCTCCCTCATCAGGGTCTCAGCCATGTTGGGGACAAGTCAGATATTTAAGTCTTAGAAACACTTAGAATAAAAGCCAGATTGCCCCGTCAGTATTTAAGACAAGCAGGCCTTGGGCACTGCCAGGCCCTATTTGTGCACGGAGGCACCCCCCCCACCCCCCCGCCAGGCGGACCGTGGTGTCAGCCCCGCTGGGGAGGACCCTGGCTTGCTCCTGGTGCTGGGGCTGGAGGGAGGGCCCTCCCTCCCTCTGGCCGTCCCCGGAGCCTCAGAGCTTGCTTTCCCTGCCAGCCCTTCTTAGTGGCCTGAGCTCGCGTCCGAAGCACTGTCTTCCTCTTCCCGTTAACCACACGCGTCTCTTATGCCATCGGGGCCGCTCCAAGGGTAGTGACGGCTCTGGTCCCTCGTGGTCGCTGCACCAGGCGCAGAGTGTCACCTTCAGTCCCACCTCCTGCGGGCTGTGCCATTCTGCCTCTTCCCTCCGTGCTCATGAGACACGATGCTGTCGTTTTGTGTAAGGGAGGCAGACAAGCAGAGAAAAAAGACATCAGCCCCAGTTCACGGTGACACGTGCCTTTTCACCCTGCAGTTCTGAAAGCTCCCTGGCTGTGCTCGAGACCTCTGTGCTGGCCTCGGCGACAGACACGTATAGTGCAGGTCCGTGGGGTACTTTGTGGGATTTGGCCGATGGAGGCTGTGAAGCGGCGGTGACACTCTCCCTCGGTGACACTCGGCTTCCGACATCAGAGGTACCTCCACCACGGTGGTTTGTGTGTGGAGTCACCCAGTAGGCGGAGTACCTTCGCTAACGTCCGCACGTGCCTCCAGGGGGACTCACTTGCACAGTTCTGGTAGGGAGCTAGGGTTTGCAGCCTGTCCCTGTCGGTCTGAGCGCGGTGGCGAGGGGCTGCAGGGAGACGTGCTGGGGCAGGGGCCTTGTGCGCGCGGCCTGGGTGCCACCTCTCAGGCCTCGGGCCCCAGGTCTGCCACCCCCACAGGGGGCTGTGGTGAGCCAAGCCCTGAGCCGGCTGAAGGTCTGCGGGCTCTTGACTGCTGCCCTGCGCTTGGGGGTTGGGAAGGAGGCCTCTCCTCTACGTGGTCGTGACTCCCAGACGCAGATTCTCTGGGAAGCTGCGGGGGGTGTGCTGCAGGCGTGGGAGGACCCGAGGCCACCAGACAGCCCCCCGAGGTCCTCTCTGTCACCGTCCAAAGGGGCTGCCAGCCTTCATCTCGAGCAGAGACCGGGGAGCGGCGGTCAAGGTCAGCAGACTGCACAGGGCAGAGCTGAGGCAGCGTTCCTTTGCTCGTCTTGGCGGGTTGCTGAGGTTCTGCTCACGCGCCCTCACAGAGGGAAGGTCACCGAGCTCGTCTGCAGACGTTCCCTCATCTGTGCTCTGCTGGGCTTTGAACACGATGGTGTCGCTCTGAGCATCAGTTCTCTCGGTTTCTGTGACCGAGGGGTACCCAGGCAGAACGCCCAATTTTAACTGCTTGCGTATAGACAGCTCCATGGCAACAAATCAAACAGGCCCGGACTCCAGGGCACGGAGTCCCTGCCTCCCAGACGCAGTGCTGGACCAGGGCTGAGTGCGGCCCTGCCAGCGGACAGAAGGGGCAGAGCCACACGGTGTTTTCAGGGAAGACTGGGACCCAGCAGCTGGCACAAAGAGGGCACATGGGGCGCACGTGGGGACTGTCCAGTGCAGCCTTTTCGGGCACAGCAGGGACACGAGGCATGTGACAGCACGCCATGGCTGGGCCGCTGGGCACAGTAACCTGAACACATATGACATGGTGCAGAGCTTCGAGCACACCTTCGAAGCTGGAGGACCCGTGTGCAGGGGCCTGGGGAGGGTGGGAGCCTCAGAGCAGCACTGGCGGCCTGAGAACCACCAGTGGCCACCCTTAGCTTGAGGAACCGCTGCCTGCCCATCTGTTTAACTGAAGTAGCCTGAAGCAGCCAAACCCTTGCGTCAGGATGGCCACTGGCCACTTCTTGCCCTGACTTTCGTGCTCGTGGCAGTTAGGAAGCATTGTTAATACCAGAACTTAATAACGCAGTTGTTTGTCAAGGTGCTGGGGTCTGACCCAGACCCAAAGTTCATCAGCCTTGGGCTGGCCTTTGAGCCAGGGTTTAGGCCAGTCCAG